TCACCACCTACACAGCCTCAAGATGAACCTTCTAACAACTGAAAGCAAGGTCTTTTTGACATTGCTACCTAACGTATAGAATAAATAGTCATATCAAGAATGGATTCAGTAAGAGTAATTTGATTTTTCTGATTAACAATTTGATCGGCAAAGGTAGCAGGCAATGATCCAAAGAGCTTCTGCATGGTACTTGTCTTCAGACTGTTCTCCATGCCATTTCAATTGAGGAATTCCCAAAATACACAGTTAATATAGCAGCCATGGTTTGAAACCAGGGAATTTCTTTGAACGTACAAAATAATCATCAAATAGCTGTGTTTCTTCTAAGAGGGATCCTAGAGGGATCCACTCTTGCGTCTGCACGGGCACGCTCTTATATGACCTGTAAAACCCAAACCTTCCTCATGGAATAGATGCATGATCCTCAATAGACAACGAGAATTGGGGAAAGCAATACAGAATTGACGTGTCACTGACTACCATCAAAACCAAGACAGCAACATGACCAAAAGTAGTTCGAGAATTAGGAAGACTGACTACAAAGAACAGTAGGAGACCTCAGTCTGCCATGCAGGCAACTCTGCACAGAGCTTGGCTAAATGCAGCTTCACCGGGCAAGTGTTTGGCCAAAAAACACCTAACCATCCTTGCAATTCTCTGTGAAACCAGGAATCCAGAGCTTCACACCCCAGAAAGGACCCATTATCTTCTTATTTAATATTGACTTAATTTCTCTTAAAATGCACTGTCCACAATTCACCAAAGGTGACAATAAATTGGAGGGGATCCAGGAGAAAACTCAAGAGAATAACTGAAGAACAAAACAAAAAAAAAAAATAGAGTGTGTCTGGCAACAAACTACATAAAATTACTTATTTCTCTTAATAAAAAGAATATGAAGCAAGACACTAATCGAAATTCATAACGATGTTATGGGATTTTCAGTGCCCATAAGGCTATAGCAGGCTAGAAACTAAAAGCAGCCCTCTTAAGATCAGAAATAAGAAATAAAATACGAATCAGCCACTCAGTACACCAAGAATCGTGTTGAATTTTGCCTCAGTCAGAATTTTTAACTGCGCCTTCTGAACTACAAACTAGTTTCAAACACAAATTGGGGGGGTGGGGGGGGGGAAGTAGTCCTATGGCCTGCATCATGAAGAGGTCAGACTAAGATGATTGCAACAGTCCTTCTGACTTGATAATCTATTAACCTTACCAGTCAATTCAGAAAACACGCCTGACCACTTTCAAAACCAAATGCAAAGCCAGGTAGACCAACAGGTACACCTATTTTGACTGTATTTTTTTAGCCTCTTTTACCTTTAAACGTCGTCTAGAACTGCAGCTGTATCAAACTAGAGACACAGACAAGCGATAACAGAAATCTCATCACCTAGAAAACACTCATTTTAGTTGGCAGAATTATACAACCAGAAAGCAACCCGAAGCCAATGAGCTAGCTTGTAATTTTTCCGCACTTCCCGGAACTTTACAGAACTGTCGGTGGGACCAAATCTCTCCAGACAAGTTTTAGCTGAGAGAAGGCTCCGCACGCCCGAGAGCAGCGGTTTAGACAAAAGAGGTTAACCAGCCTTCTCTCGTTGAAAAAAAAAAAAAACAAACAAGGGGGAAATAAAGGGCGACGGGGGGATGCTGGCACGGAGGTGGCTGCCGTCTGCCGGCGCGGGATGAGGCGGCCCGGTGCCCGCATTGTTCCTGCGGGCAGCGCCGGTGCCCGCGGCCCCGCGCACGGGGACCGCTCCCCCCGCAGCCGCCGAACCCCGCTTCCCTCCTGGAGCCGGGCAGGGACGCGTGAACTCTTGAACCCGCGCCGCAGCACAACGCGAGTCTCCGGGGTGGAGAACGAAGACGCGCCTCGCGCGGGGAGGCAGCCCGCCCGCCCCGACGATGAGGGCCGCCGGGGAGCCCGAGCCGACCACCTCCCCTCTGCTCCCCGCCAGCCAGCGGCTCGGCGGCCGTGCCCCCAGACGTGGAAGCCCGGCAGGACGCGGCTCGTCCGTTCCCCCCGCCCCGCCCGGCCTCACCAGGCGCGCAGTGCCTCTGGGCCTCGGCCGCCCGCCACCCTGCCTTGCCCGGAGGGGGCCCCTCGCTCGCCTCACCCCCTTCACGGGGCGCTCTCTCAGCCGCCCCCGGGCCAGGCCCCAGCCCGGACCCTGGCCTTTCCTGCTGCAGCCCCCCGGAGAACCCTCCTCACCTGGGCTTGAGGCTGCCGGCGCCTCGCTCGTAGGCCCAGGAGGCGGCGGGCTGGGCGCCGGCCGGGGCCAAGGGGTCGGTGAAGCTGGGGGTCGTCGGGTAGTTCCTGTCCATCATCGGGCAGGGCGCGGTGCCGGGGCGACAGGGGCTCCGCTGGGGTACTGCGCGCAGGGCGGCGGCGGCGGGCACCGAGCGGGGCGGGTGGGAGCGGGCCCCCCCGCCTCATGCGGGGCGGGCAGCGCCGCGGCCCCCCTCACCGGCGCGGGCCAGGCCGCCGCGCCCCGGCCCCCCCTGCCCTGCCTCCACTCCCCTCCCGCTCAGCGGCGGGCGGCGGCGGCGGGCGGGCAGCTGAGGGCAGCGGCGGGCGGCGGCGGGGGCTGTGCGGCGGCCAAGCGGAGACCCATGTCGGGCTGCTCTTTCCCAGGATGCACCTCCCCCGCCAGCGCTCACTGGAGCTCACGGGCTCCGGCTCCGTGGCCTGGGGAGCAGGGAGGCCACAGCGAAGGGAGCAGCCACTGGAGCCGCCGCCAGCAGCGCCGGCAGGGGGCAAGGAGGAGGTCTGCTACTTGCGAACGGGCCACCGCGGCCCGACGGGGAAGCGCGGCTGCAGTAGGGGAGCGTGGCGGGGGGCGGTAGCCGCCACCGGGGCGGGGTGGGGGGGAGCTGAAGGCGGGGACCGCCGGGCCGGGCGGTGAGGCGGGGGGAAGGCCGGTTTCTCGGCGGGGCCGCGTCAAGTGAAGCGCTGGCGCTTTGTTGGAGGAGCCGGGGCGGGGCCATCTTGTTCCCGCTGAGGGGAAGCGGCGTCAGCGGCGGGCAGCGCCGCGGCCTTCGGGGCGGCTGCCGCCGACAAGATGGAGGCGCCCAGCCAGCCCTGCCCCGACTCCCACCCCGAGGCGGCGAGTTACCTCACGGCGAGGGAGCGCTTTGTAAAGTAATTTGTAGGGCGGCTTTCCCGCCCTGCCCTGCCCCGCCAAGGGGGGAGGTGTCCGGGCGGGCGCCTCCCCCCTCCGCGGGGCGCCCCGGCCCGCCGCCTTCCGCGCAGGAAAATCCACCTGGCGGGGGGGTGCAAGGTAGAAACCCCGGTGGTAGGCGCCGGAGCGGGAGTTCGGAGGTGCTGTGGGTCATCGGGAGAAGCTGCTGGCCGTGTTTTTCACTCAGGGCCGCTCAGAGCCTTTGCTTCGCCGCTTCAGGCTCCTGCGTGCAGGTGCTCAGCGGTTTAGGTTGGTCATTGCTTTGAGAATGTTTTACGGAGGTTAAATAATATAAAAATAATATAAAACCAGCCCTTTAGCTTTTTTTCCTTTTTGAACGCTAAAAGCCTGAAATACACACATATATGTATATAAGAGTTTTTCAAAACACTCAGGCATTCCCATTAATAAGTCAGTGCAGGTCTGCAGCCTGGATAGGCTTTAAAGTCAACCAGAAGGAAGAACAGACAGAATGTTTTAAGTATTTAGGGCAGTCTAAGCCACCTGGTGCACAGCCACTATGTTCCTGTATCTTTGTGTGTTTGTTAAAACAAAGAGAAATGGGTACCAGCTGTGCAGAACAGGGTAGGAGCAAAGGAGGCATCTGTGTTGGACAGGGAGATGGTGGGTGACCTACGGTTCTTGCTTTCCCCACAGGCTGAAGGTGCAAAGGCAGAGGTGCCCAGGAGGTATGTGCCTCTAAGGTAAAGATGAGGAGTATGCACTTGAAAAGAGGCGACTGTACCTGAAGGCAGTGCTCAGAACAGGAAGGTGTTTGCTAATGTGTAAGTAAGTCTTTTGAAGATTCAGTTTGTAGTAAGTACTTCGGGCAATATCCAGACACAGAGTAAAATGAATTTTCATTTCACTACACATTAAATGAAATGGTGAAGTGCAGAGTTTAGAAACTTGGCTACAGCCAAATAGATCAGATGCTAAAAATAAATCTCAACATTTGAATTAAAAAGTGATCGATATTAAATGAGAAAGCAGGAAGGTAAGAGACTTCAGGAGGAAAAGCTGAGGTTCTGCTTTTCTCATGCCTAGTTTCAAGAAGCTGCAAAGTCAGCTATGGGAAGAAATGCAGCTGTAGATCAGGAGGGAAAGGTAAAAATGAAAGTTATCAGCACCAAAGAGACTGAGCGAAATCACCCAGAGGACGGGAGGAATTGAGGAGGGAAAAGCAGCAGTGTACCAGATCCAGAAAACATCAGTGAGTTTCCTTGTGTTTGTGTAAGTTAGCACCTGTATTGCTTGAACCTGGAGGGGAGTATATGGGGGGGTGGGAGACCGTCTTTCCCTGGGAAACACAAGGGTTACTGTTTTACAGATGAACGAGGCTTGATGACAGAAAATGGCTCCAGTTTTATGTTAGTGACAAAGCACTTACTATTGAAAGTAGCATTTCCAGTGGGGAAGAACCTGTAGTTTTCGATTTCCCTGCAGGATCTGTGCCAATCTGTTTTATAATATTACCCTTAGGGTGCATTGTGTCCCTGAAGAGGGCCTGAGGGGAGGGTGATATGTGGACCTATTCCACCTAGCTGTAGTGTTTGGTTATTTAGGGTTAAGTGTGTTAGTGTGGAGCTACCTTAAAAGTGTCTTGCTGCAAGTTTGGAATGACACATTAAGAAATTGTAAAACTGTTGTTTTGTTTGATGTTTTTTCTTAAGTAATGGCAACATGAACTTTAAAGAGTAGCATAATGTTGTGTGTTTTCATTACAGGTTATTTCTCTAAAGAGAAGAGTACTCTCAGATACATGGCTGTAGAAACAACAAGTGCCAGTCCAGATTTACAGGCAGGTAGACAGTTAGTTTAGACCGCTAAATGAAGTAATTGTCAGTATACCACAGACACAGTGTTTTCCTGAACATTGTTGGAGAAGATCCTCATTCTTGTAATCAGATAGAAAAGTTAACAGCTGTCATAATTTCTATTTGTGTCGTTTGATTTCTTTTACATGGCTTTAATAGAGGTGGAGTAGACTGAAAAATTAATCACAAATGTCTATAAACACCAGATAAGTCAGTTTGCTTTTCCTGTGTATGAGATAAATCTACTTGTCTTGATAAGTAGTTGCTGAGACTTACATAGTGTTCTCATTACACTGATCCGTGCTGCTTGTTTCCATCCTATGTTTAGGAAAGTTACCTCGAAGTTTGTGCATTTTACCTGTTTGTAACCAAAAGGTATTTTTTAACTGTTCTCTAAGACAGCAAAGGAGGCTGTTTAGAGTAAGTGCTTTTTACAGTTTTCTGGTATCCATGATATCTATAAACAGCTCTTCTGAAAGATCTGACAGAAAAAAAATCTTTTGATAGATCCTTTTAATCACGTTATTTTAACGTGTAGATTAAAGTACATATTAAGATGTGTATTTAGGAGTCATTTTAGACATGTTCATGATTCTGAATACTGAAAATACTTTGATTCTTGTATTAGCAATAAATGCTTTTGTTTCAAATCCAGCTGTTATTTCCTGTTTAGGAACTGAGTTTTGCTGGATTTTAACACCTTCCAAACTGTAGTTCATAACTGAGTGCTTATATCCAGTAAAGCTTATCTCTCAAGTCAGGAATTTAATATAATAAATACATTCTGCTGAAACATAAGGTAATGCAATTTTTCACTCTATTTAAGAGCAAAATCTCAAATTACAGCACTGTAATACAATCTGTGCAGCATACCGGCCTGGGGCAGTACTGAATTTTTGTTACTCATTTCTTTCCCTAAACGAGCAGTCTCCACTTGGAAAAATAACATAGCAAATCCTTTACAGAGTTAAAAATGTTATGTGTTGATTAGGAATGGATTTAAGCACTTAAGGTAACACTTTAGTGGTAATCGTCTGCCTGAGGTCCAAGGAGTGATCTTGAAACTGCAGCATGGGCTGCTGCCTACAGGTGTAGCATGCAACAGGACTGTGTTGCGCTGCTCGGCTGCTTGCTGACAGCCAAAGGAGAAGGCCTTACTCTCCCTTCCTTCCCTGCTCCACTCCACCTCCTAGCAATGTGCTGTAGCTACAAGGTGAACTGTAAATTCACTGGCAAAAGAACACTTACTTTTTTGCCAGAGGTTATTTTTTTATAATTTCACTAAGCTGAGTCAGCTTGCTTTGCATCAAATGAGTGCTGGCTCAGGGCAAACAGTGGCAGTGTGCAGGTAGAAGCAGCTGGAAAGGGAAGGAAATGACAGGAAAGAGCAGGGAACTTTTATTTTTGATGGTGAAATATTTACTTGGCTTGTGGTATATTCAGTATAGGAAGCTCTTGAATCTAGGAGTGCCTGAGGATTTATTTCTGTGGGCAGTAATGGGCTTCTCTGCCCATATGCCACTTCAGCCAGAATCAAGCCAGCTCTGATGCAGAACTGTCTTAGCTAATATATGCTGCCCCTTAGGGAAACTCTCCTATTTTCCTCTTTCTGTTTAAATAATCTAATATTGCTCAGTGCTGAATGGCAGCATTACTTGATGAGGTCTAGTTCTATGTTTAAATTGACCATATGCCAAATGAAATGCAGAATCAAGCTAATAATGGGTAGTTGGCAGTTTTCTGCGATTTCATCATAATTAAAACCAAGATACCAATCACAAATCCAGGGCCAAACTACTGGTCAAATTCACTCCTAGTGTTGACTTATTTGTTTGTAATTGATTTATTTATTTAGTAACTTCTTTGTTGCTTAGTTTGCAACCTTATTACTGATACTAACAGAAAAAGGTCAGCCACTGTTTAAGTGTGATTGAGTATTTTGTGTGTTGTGTGTTTATAAGACTGGTCAAGCAGAAAGCTGTGTAGTATGTTAAGCTCCAACAGTACTACAGATGTTAAAATACCAGGATAGCATCACTAAGGGTCCTTGTGCATGCAGCTGCAGGTTTTACTGGTGGGCTCATTCTTCATAGGGCCAGCATTTGCTGCCTGTGCTTTTGGTGCTCTGTTTATTGCAGGTACAACAAACCTGTCTACAGGGATTTGCCAAAGTCTCTTTATCCCCATATACTCTCTTCTTCCACAGAGGGCATTGCTCCTGTCCTTAACAGGTGATGCCTAGTTTTGGTCTTGTCCTGGCTCTTCCCTCATGTTGAAGTACCAAAGTACAATTTTTTTCTTGCATTAAGAGGCTTTCAGCTAAATCTGTAAACTTGATTTTGCAGCTAAATTCTTGGTGTGCTTCAGGGCACAAAAGAATCCTGCAAGAATAGCCAGATGCACATGCTGGATCAGCAGCTTGAGCTGTTGTTGATTGAAGAAAGTAAAGGCACAGCATGCAGTTAACACTGCAAGAGTTAACAAGAGATTACAGCTGGGCTGTTGGAAGTGTACAAAAAGGATTTTATTTCAGTTCATAATAGTACTTTATTTTGGAACTCTCATGGTATCATAAATAGTTTGATAACATACACAAACATTTTAGTGGTTAGCTTTCAGTGGCTAACCGTTTTGTCAACAAAAGCTCTAGAAGTGCCTAACGGTTAGCTTTCGTGCTGAATTTATCTTCACAGTTGTTTGAAAACAGTGTTTCAGAGACTTGAGGACAAAATTCTTTTTTGAAAACTAATGTTTCAAAGGTAAAACATTCAAGTAAATTGAACTTGTCTGGTCAGATGAAGTTTGGAGAAGTTCAGGCCAAAGCTGAGCTGGGTCTGATATACTGACAAATTCTAAGAGGAACACAGAATTACAAGTCTGCAGGATCTTTCTCTGTTGAACACTGATAAACAGTAAGCATCAGCTTACAGATGGTGGATGCAGCACTTCTGGGCAGGTTCTGTGTGTGTGCTATTAGGCTGTGGCATCTTCTGTGAGCAGCAGCGGGTAAGTAGATCAGATATTATGCAGTAATGAGTTTTGGTTAGGCCGATTACAAATCACTGTTTCTTTTATTGTTGTTGTTGTAATTGTGATTCTGGCCAAAGCATAAAGCTGTAGTTGTTTGACCAATTAGATTTTACATTTAATTTGGCACATGGCCTCTTCAAACATCAAGCTAGACATTGAGAAATGTCTAAGTAGACACTCCAAGAACACAGCTGATCTTGGAGGCTCATAGCAAATAGTCTCTTTCTTTGCATTTCTTTACATATGCTATTCTGTGCGTTTATTTGATGAAAAGCTTGTGTGTATGTACAAACAAAAGAAGCAAAATCTTCATAATTTATTCTGTTGAACTAAAGGTGATCTATGAAACCATAGCCCTTCTCCTGAGGTGATAAGAGATGACTGAGCTGGTAGAAAGCTTACTGCAACAATGAGATGGAAGTCCTTGTTTCCTTCACTTTCCTAATCCTCCTTTTTGTGTGGTTCCACAGCTTCCAAGGTGCCACCACTGGTGCTTGTGTTGGTTCAGCTCACCCACTCAGGAGGAAATGGTCTATGTTTTTGCTTGATGACTTACAAAAGGATCCAGTAAAGACCAGAACTGGTATAAGGTATGTGGGAGAAATGTGCAGTGACATGTTGGAAAAAGAAAACTTTGCTTTTGAACAAACTCATAGTTGTAACGGAAAGTATTTTATTTTACCTTTTATTAGATACTCTCCTTTGTATCATATCCATGCTGGGTATTTAACATTAGATACTGGATGTATTCAGTACTTGGTAGCTGCTGGTCTTTAGAGAAATTAAACTGAAGTTGCTGAACAGCTTGGAACCATTGCAGGTATTTTTATTTCCTAAACAAAGTCAGCACTGCATCAGAAATTTAAAACCTGTTATAAGGTTTTGTTTTGCGTAGGGGCTGTGCAAAAAAAGCAGAGGGAAAGGATAAGCTAAAGGCCTTGCTGTCTGTGAAGAGACAAAGCAAGCTGTCAAGAAAAGGGGTTTTCAGAGAGAGGGAGGGGACCAAGTTTTTGGGAATCATGTCCAGGGGGGAGAGAAAGGAAAACAAACAAACTCACCAAACAGCAAATAGGCATGTGTGTACAATAGCAGATTATGAATAGACACAGAAGAAGGTATCAGAGAAGGGAAAAAAATCAATAGCAAATTATAGGTAGAACAATGAGAAAAGGAGGGGGAAAAAAAACCCACCCACAAACCACCCCCCTAAACCAGAAGAAAATGAAAAGCTACATGTAAAGCAAAAGTAATTAATGTAGTTATGTATTTTCATCACAGACAAAATGTACTGCATCAAAAATAGCCAAAATACATTTGATAGGTCCTATTCTGTTATTTTCCATGTATGCAATTAGTGTAGTTGCCATTGTAAAGTTACATGAAAGATAATGCATTTTATGGTAAAATAGAGGAATGGTGTCAACCTGGGGAAAATTTGGGGAAGTTGCTCCCACAAAAATGAACAGCAAACTGAATTGTAGTTTAAACACTAATGGAACTACTGTTTCTTTCCTTGTTGGTACATCATAGGACCTGGAGTTCCCAGCTGGAGCGTGTCTTTTGCTGACATATCAGTATTTTGCTAAGTTAGGGCAGTTTTGCAGTAATTATTTTTGACATTTCAAAGAGAGTGGGCTGGCTTTTTATTCGGTGGACACAGAGATTAAAAATTAAATGGGAAATTTTATTAATTTGAGTTGTGGTTAGTTTTTTTGTTCTGTTTTATTTTTTAAAAAAGTAAGTAGTGTCATAATGGTGAAAATTTACTCAACTTCCACCTAATTTTCAGGATTGTTGAAAACCAGTTGATACAAACTTTTTTTTTTTGTGTATCTGGGAAATGTGTAGCTAAAGTCGTAATATTATAAACAGATGACATTTTACAGAGAACTGGGATCCTATTTTCCCCAAGACTTATAATGAGAATGAAGTATCTGTACCCCACCAGCTGTATTCCAAGTCTTAGTTCAGTTGACTGAAAAGCTTCACTTGATGTTCAAATACAGAAAGAGGTTCTGGTATTATTTGAGGAGTTTTAACCAACTGGCTCAGCTCATCTCGTGTACTTGGGAGAAAAAGCACAAATCTGACTGTTGTCTCTCAGTGAGCAAAGCAAGAGTGGCTTAATTTAGTGTAAAGTCACTGTACTGCAGCATTTGTTCTACCTAGCTGCCCTCATGTATCCCTCCTGCCTCTCTGCAGAAGTTAAGTTGGCTTGTTTGTCTTTCTTATATCTAGTCTGAATCTCCCCTCTTTCAGTTCAAGAAATACCCCTTGTCCTGTTGTGACAGGCCCTGTTAAAAAGTCTGTCCCCACCTTTCTTACAATCCTGCTTTAAGAAGAGGGCATGCTGTTACCAACTTCATTTTAAAAAAAAAAATAAAGGGTTGTCAGCCTTTTTTATAACAAGCTAAATAGACATCTTCTCTTTTGCTATGATTAACCTGTGTAAATGTTTATTTGGAAATTGTTTTACAAAACAACAGACTAATATTGCTACCCCTCACCCAACAAAATGACAGCAGTTAATGTCAAAGTTACAATTAAAATGTGACCAGTGACCAGTGCATTCAAAAGGCTCTGTCAGATGAGTAGAAGGAAAAGATGAAGCAACAAGAACTGTTCAAACTGCTCACACAGGTCAGAAATGACTGGAAACAGTCTGAAGTTACCATCTGAATAGAATGGGGTATTTGGAAAGATGTGCTTAAGATTTCTGAGAGGAAAATACATCCCAGTTCTTGACTGTGAAAATGACAGATGATAAATTTGTATGTGATACGAATTAATTGAAAGATATTTACAGTATATTGAGGTGTTTGAAAGATGTTTTGAAAACCTGGGGTTTCCTTTGTGTTCTCTACCCCACATGGAACAAGTGGGGATAGCAGCAGTTAACGATTTTGTTGGCAGATGAGACTGTGGATAGAAGTCTGGGTTTTTTTTTGTTGGTTTTGTTGGTTTGGGGTTTGGGTTTTTTTTTTTAAGCTTTAAATGAACCTGTACTGTGGTTGACCTAATTAATCAAACACTCTTGCTAATAACCTACAGGTAATTAATGCTATTTACAGCTGGTAACGTGAAGGAAAGACAAGGAATTTTCCTGTGCTTTCCAAACTTCAAATATAGTTCTTAGGGGCAGATCAGACTCAAAACATTTTAGTTAGTATCAGTAGGCATCACTAAAACAATAGAATACTTCAAATCAGATTTGGCAACAGCTCTGTAGTAAATAATTTGGCAAAGAATTACACTTTTTTGTTACTCAAAGTGATCAGTTATTTTGGTTTTGGTTCCAATCCCAGTTCAGTTGAAGCCAATAAAGAGCTTGCCATAGACTTTGGTAGGACCAGAATCAAATGCATGTTCATGAACTGTGGTGAGGAGTGCACTTCTGTGGTGAGCAGTGCACTTCCATTTGGTACTTCAGGTTTGCTGTTCTAACAAATTCATAAAAATCCCAATGAAAATCCCCCCAAAATACAAGAAATACATAATGGATATAATACTGTTCATTGGAGGATTTGATAAATAGTAAGCTTTCTTATTTCACTGAATTAAAAACAGGTTAACTGATTCCTTTTTTCAGATGACAGAGCCAGAGACCACTTTTCTGCCCTTCGGTTATTTGCTGTAACTAATAACGTGTCCTAAGTTATGAAAAGCTGCATAATGTTGGATTAAACATTATGTTTAATAATGTTATTTGCTGTAACTAATAACTTCCTAAGTTATGAAAAGCTGCATGCTATAATCTTGTTATGATGCTGAAAAGGCCAAGTTTTGGGAAATTATTCAAGGCATTGGCTAACAGCTTTAAGTGTGACATGTTTAAACCTGTTCCAAGAGGAATGGAGTTTAAGTACTATGTAATTTTTCCCGGTGTTTTATTTAGACACTTCTGTTTTCAGCTGTCATAGTGTATCTCTGTTAATTCCTTTAAGAGCCACTGCCTTTCCTACTGGCCCTTGAAAGAAGGCCCAGAAGTCAAAACACTGATGATTTACACCTGTACACAGATTAGATTAAAATTCCTGCTGCTTTGCTCCGCAAAATCTATCTCCTCTTTCTCCCACATAAGGACACTTGTATTTGCTGTTTTTTGTATTCTCATAGCAACTGCATTTTCAAAGGAAACTGCATGTAAAATCTGGAAATATGGCAACAATTCTGAATTCACACATCACCACAGTCTTCCTGTTGTTGATTTTTCCTATGCCAGCCCTGATGTATCAGAAGTTCTGAAAAGAGACAAGACACAAGGCAAAAGTGTCCTGGGCCAGGAGTCAGCATATGAAACAAGAAAAACTCAACCCAACAGCTGCCATTCAATCCCTTTAAAAGGAGAGGTAAGTTTATGTTATGGTCAGCTAAATTTTAAACTTTGCTTCTCATTTGTAATAAGCAGAATGTGTATTTTTTTTTTTTCATCTTATGTGCAATGAGTATTTAAATATCAGTCATTGCATATTTTAGGTATCTAAAGTACCAATTCTTTGAATAAATTTGAAGTATTACACCCTACAGAAGATGCAGTTTACTGCCCAAAGCACTACAGCATCCATGTGCAACACTTAAACCATCTTAAGGTTTTCTGTTATGAAGGCATTGCACAGAGTCATTTGCAAATGATTTGTAGACACAGACCAAATATCAAGTGATATTTAATCTCTGTACAATTTCTGTAGTTCATTTAAAACATGACTTTGCCAGATCTACTTACTAGGACTATATCGCTAGTAACATTAAGGAATCTCTGAACTTTTACAAGCCCTATGAAATCTTTTTCCTTGAAAGTGCTCCTGTTAGTCCCAGGAAAAATCTATAGGAAAGCATGCTCTATAGCTCAAGATGCACATTAACAAATTTGAAATTGTTAGGTAAATTTCTGCAAGCTTTTAATTCCATAGCTTTATTGTAACTGTATTTTGGTTATTAACAGTGATCTCTCAAAACTCACTGATTTTGGTCTTACAGAATAGTAACCCCCAAGAACTTCAGAATGCTTTTTACAAGTAGGGCAAAAGTGAATTGAAGCTGTCCTAACAAGGGGATTCCCCAGTCTCTCAACAAGAAAGAAGCTGCAAAGAGGTTTGTAACTTGTTGAAAGCCTAGTCTGATTCTGAAGCTTTGGGAATAAGAACAAAGTCCAGTGTCCACACGTATCAGCTGGGTTGTATGTATTTTTCAAAGGGCAAGACCTCCTGGTGTAGCACTTTTGATGCACCGTTTATATTCCAAGATTTAGAGCATTTTCTTCTTTGTAAAAGTGTTTAGAGATTAAAAATCTCGTATTATATCATTCCATAGCACTGTAGGTTCTAGCAGGTTAAAACCCCACAAAACTCAGTGAAATATTACATGTAAGTATTCAACTTTTATATTATAAAGTGCATTTTTGGCACCAAATTAAAATACCATTTATTGCCATCCGCATTGGTCAAATGAGTGTATCTGTATGGGTGGAATTTGTTGCGTCTTAAAACCTTTGTTGCCTGTGACCAGCTATGTAGCTACTGTAATACAAGAGAACACCAACCAGTATCTTCCTGCAGCTATGGGAAGCCTTTTCTGCTATGTTGCTATTTGACTAGGAGGTAAAGGGACTGCAGGGTTGGGATGACTTGCTCAGCAAGATCTTTAAGGCTATGTGATGCTGGGGTCGGTATTTTAATAAGATCTAAAATTAAGGGTGGCTAGAACTGGAGATGCAGAAGTTGTGTGTCGTGGTTTAAACCCAGTCAGGTAATTCGTTCGCTCACTTCCCCCCCCCTTTCTTGCCCTCCCCCTGCTCTCGGAGGGACGGAGAGGAGAATCGGAAAGAATGCAACTCCCACGGGTTGAGATAAGAACAGTTTAGTAACTAAGGTATAACACAAATCACTACTGCTACCACCAGTGATAATAATGATAAAGGAAATAACAAGGGAAGAGAATACAACACCTCAGCACCAGCCAACCGATAACTCGCCCCCCCTCAGCCCGACCAAGCACCGACCGATACCTCCTCCAACCCTGCAGTCTCCCAGCCCTTCCGGCTAACTCCCAGTTACATCCTGGCCATGACGTGCTGTGGTATGGAATACCTCTTTGGTCAGTTTGGGTCAGGTGTCCTGTCTCTGCTTCCTCCTGGCTTCCCCTGCCCCCTGGCAGAGCATGAGGCTCACAAAGTCCTTGGCCAAACCAAAACATCGCTATCAGCTCTGTTCCCAGGCCGAAAGTCAAAACACTGCACTGCACCAGCTACCAAGAAGGGGAAAAATGACTGCTACTGCTGAACCCAGGACATTGTGTGTATACAGTTAACAAGTAACTCTGTGGAATTCTTGACTATTGCTCTGTGCAAGCTGATTATCTAATAGATGTTACATTCTACTTAAAGGTATCATTCATATCCCAGGAGAGCAACACATACTTATGCAAAGTGCTTCTCTGGGGTTATTTGGCCTTTTCAGCAAGCTAAATGTCTTTTTCAACATTTAAATTTTTAAACTGCAAAAGAAACATCCTCTACGAAACCAAAGTACTTTTTAACAAGAGACAAGTCTCTAGCTATTTGCTTAACATCCCCTGACCCACAGTACTTTGCTTACTCTCTTTGAGCTGGTATTTAGTGCTGAACATCAAAATCATTTGATAGAAGTGTACTTTGTCTGAATGGATAGTTTGCTGTTCAATTAATTGTTCATTTTAATCCAACATTAATCACAATACCACAACAAATAGAGTAGTGTGTTAACCAGCAGTGTCTAAAACAAACCAGTGTAATCCAGAAGCAGTAATATATATTTGAAAAATCAACTCATGAAATAATTTTCATATTCAAATCTATTACTAGAACAAATAGAAAAGTCATACAGTAATTAAGTGAACATATCAAAGTAGACTTCCTAGGGCAAAGTATTAATAGTCACAAAAAATGGTGTCAATAAAACCAATTAAAATACTGTTCCTTCCAAATAAAAAAAAAAGAGAAAGATGAAACTTAATGAAACATCAGTAGTGTGATGGGATGGTTCAAAGTGCATATGTAAGAGGGTGGCAGTGCAAGATCTCCTCTTTATGCATTCCCTCCTCTTGGCACAATAACCTTGTGCAAATAATAGTCCTGCAGCCTTTGCAACGGATCACCTCTCTTCCCAACTGGGACCTTCATGTGCTCCTAGTTGTGCTAAAGATTTCTGTAACCTGTCTTGCAATATGCAAGGTAGTGCACACTTTCTAGAAAAGTATGTTATGTGCCAGTAATGCCCCCTCACCCCAAAGGAGGCTGGTGACTAAGGACCAGGAAGTGACATAGACTTCTTAAACACCCGTGCCCAGTTTGGGGGCCCTGGATAAGGGGGTGGTGGCATGTTGTACTGTTGTCCATCTGAAGTAACTGCTTGCTCATAAGTTGGTAGTGATGAATCATCCATTCCAAGAGGAAGTGGATTTAAAGAAAATTCTTCACGCCTTCTGAAGATGCTAGATGAATTCCGTCTTCTACTTCTTACGTAATCCAAGTACCTAAGCAAAATTAACAGCAGTATAAGTGGCAGCTTCTCTTTTAGAGGGAAGAGAGAATATACAGTCAGAGTTGTAATGAAAAAAAACAAACCAACAAAACAACCCCAAACAACAAAAAGCCACCCCAGAAAAACTCCACCACACGACAAAAAACCTTTGCCTTCAATGATCACAAAGACTCTTTCCAGACCACACAGTAAGAATAGCTCAATAATGTGAAATTTATAGGGAAGAGGAAGCACAGAATCCTTTTCTGTTCCTTTCAAGTTCAGGATAAAGGAACAAGCAGGGCTAGAGAACTAGTGAAGAAGCACTTCCTCTAACCTGCTTCATCTCACACCTGAGGTAGACCACATGCCATGAAAAGCACACAACCTCCTTTAAAAAGCAAACAGAACACATTAAACTTTCCACTGCAGGCCCCAGTTTATGAAAATGATTCCACCTTTTTAGTATGAATATTTTGGAACCAAGAACACACACTAAAAAGAAAAATCCCCAAAGGTACTTCAGCTATGCAAGTGTTGGTTTATGGTTTTGTGCTATTAACTTCAGCGTAACTACTGCTAGCGCTCACCTAACTTTGCTGCCAGGAAAGCAAGAACTACAACTCTCACTGGATTCTCTGAGAACACACTCTGACCAACTCACAATGAGTTTTAAATTCCACTCTTACCCAAGAGTTTGTTTTGGTGTTTTGTTTTTTAATCAGCAGAATTCCTTACCCTGGTGGTTGCCTTGATTTGCATCTACTTTTGCAGCAGTAGAAGATAAGCAGTACAGTTATAACTAACAGTACTCCAGCAGCGACAAGACTGATGAGAAGTCCTGTAACATTTATCTTTTGTAGTGTCTCATCACCTGAAGATAAAACATTGGTTATTTTCATTATGTGTTCTTTCTCTAGTATACAGTGTAAAATACTAATTTTGCTGCGCTATAGGACGCTTGCTGCGTTCCTTTCCACAAATGCCTAGCTTGCTGTGAGAAGCCACTGTATCTGTGCAGTACCACCCAGGAGTATCATTCACATGCAGCTTAAAGCAAAAGTTAGTAGATACTTCCTTTCCTGTACATAGAACTGTTGAGTCTGTCTTCTAATGCCTTCCAAATACTATTTCATGTACCTGTGACCTCGATCAGGCTACAGCTTTCTCCTCCAGTCATATTGACCATTTTTTTTATAAAACCTCTGGCATAAGACTACTCTGAACCTAAATCACTCTTAGATTACTGTTACAGAAATGGGGAGGAAAGGGGAAGAAACAAACAAAAACCACAAAAAGCAGACACAGAATTACTGCAGACTACCAATTGTGTAATAAAACAAATGGACAAGAAAATTATACTACTTTTACCTACAGACTAACACCGGATCCCACTGTAAGACACTTTAATGAGTTTTACTATATCAGATAATGCAATAAACTTGTACAGCTCACAGTGAATTTTAGTAAAAAGATCAATTCTGATATTGGTAACTGAATGCATGGTGTATTTTTAAGAATGTACTGTTACAACAAACACAAAATACTGCAATATAAGCAAAGAATAAAAAGATTACTTACCTAGTTTTATTTTAGGGCCTTTAGTTGAATAGTCTTTCCAAAAATCCATCTATAAAACCAAAATGACGAGATTTATGGGATACATAATCTGCAGGCTTATTGACAATGTCATTTACTATGGTACTGTGGGCAAAATTTAACAGTGGCATAAACAGAAGCGACTCCTGCTGAAGGATTCAAACTTGCTTTTCCCACTATATTTTTCACATACATTCAAGTTTGCGTATAAAATACAGTTTCACAAAGCAGAAAATACCAGCTGATGAAAGAGAAAAGTGCATTTAACTGTCCAGTGTTACCTCTTATTTCTGCCTGATTGCAGTAGAAGTCAGCATATATTCTGACACTATAAAAATGCTGGGAATTAATCTTTTTAAATCCCTGCAGAATAGTATTACTGAGGCAAAGTCAAGTTTTTAAGAATCAGACATTTGCATGAGAAGTATCTGAATTCATACCAGCTAAGAAAAATAATGGAATTCATTTAAGAGAACCTTTATGTTGCATGACTGTGTTTAGCTGTAACCTCCACTTCTGCTCCCCAGCAAAAGACTCCATCAAGATCCTGAGTTAATGCTTCCACGTTTTTCTTAAGAAAACGCTAACAATGGTAATGGAATGTTTCCACCTTCAGGGAGGAGTGTGTTTCTCTTTCTGCAGGTTAGTGCAGAGCATACCCAGAATCACAAAGATTCTTGCTGCAGGCAGCAAGAACAGTATTCAGACAGTCATCACATTCCACTATTGGGCTGAAAGGTTTCTTTTGAATTTTTCTTTTTTTTTTTTTTTTTTAATACCAGATTTCCTCCAAGCTGTATATAGGTAGTGATTTGGAAGATAATGCTTTAGGAGTACTCTGCAATAGCTGAACTGCAGATTTGTCCCATACTCGTCTCTTCTAAAACACTTCTTTGGCATGACACAGTCAGCCAATTAATACCTAGAGCATGGGGAACACATTCAAATTGGATGCTAAGAAGTTACGAAAAAGATTGATGAGCTTCTAAAAAACACATACAGGTATACCCACAAGGGCTACTTCTGAAGTTTCATGTATATTTGTTTTGCAGAATTAAAGCCCTTACCTAAAGTCTCTTAAGACAGCAGCACGTAATGAAGTGTATTCACTGTGTATCTAGAGCAATAACCCCATTTACAGTAAAATAAGCAATCATTTCCAGTGCTGTTTTCAGGAGGGGTACAGTATTTAGATACAGTAATTATTTAGTTGGTAACCTCCTTCAGTATACTAAATTCAGTATGAACAGCTACCGTTTTATCAGGGTCTTCAAAAATTTCTCTGGCTTCTTCATAATTACACAGCTCTTCAAGGCATTCTCTTTCCAGGTTATCTGGGGTGAATGCCTCAAAATCAAATCTGTTATACAGAAGACGGCGTCCAATGAACAAATTTGCCTCCTTTTCTGATGTGAACACTAATAAAAAGAAAATAAGTTGATTTAAAAGAAGTTAGGACAGCCAGATTTGTTGGGTTAAAGGAATGGTTAATATCCTAAAGGAACACATTAACACCACATCTTCCCGTGACATCTTTCAGCTACATACAGGGAAAATAAACATCAAGGTCTCTCTCCTTCTTTGCTGCTTTTTCTAACTAGGCAATATAAAATAAACATATTTTCCTTTCTCATAAAACATTTTGGTTATTCCTTATACTAACCAAGAAAACTTGATTCTCAGGCCAGCTGTTGTTCAAGTTTTAGTGTTACTTCTTCAGGAATGTGGGCATCAGTTTTTTACTGGAGCTCTTAAGAACAAATAGTCACATGAAGCAGAAATTCAGTCAGATCCAAACCCAGCAAGATACTGACCTACTGGAGGAAGGAGGCAAGAGGGCAGAAAAAAAATTAAAAAATCTGTTCCTTTGATAGAATCCTCAGTATACGTTTTATCAATATTCTGGTGTCTGTGAGTTCCAAATTTTATTTACAGAATTTGGATTTTAAGTTATAGCAGCAGAGTTCTATTCATTCTACCTTTGTTCTCTTTTCACTATTGAGGCAGCAAGTTTAGGTAAAGGTTGCCATATTGCCAAGTTTAAATTAGTCCATGATAGGAATTTTCCGACAACAGGCACTTCTGAAGAGATTTAATTCTTCTTTTATGCATTTTACAGGCTCCATGGAGTAAGCTGTGAGGTGAGATACCAGGAGAGTTAGTGAAATTACAGAAGGCTTTGGAATACAGGAATGCATCTTCTCACCAGGCATCTTCCACAGTCAAGTTTTAGCCTGCTCTTGCTACAGATTATATATATATATGACAGAACTAGTTTTCTGGTTTGGCTTTCAGTGAAAGCCTAATCTGTATTCCAAGAAATTCAGTCTATTTGGTTAAGCAAAACAAGTAGAGGATTATTGTTGCAAATGTAAAGTAGAAACAACACTGTTACATAGCAAGCCAGACAGCTAAAAAAATGAAGATGAGATTCAGTACGAAGTTATTCAGCTACAAATTAGCTCTGTGTTCTTGTTAGCTTGTTTGGCTAGATTGTTACATCATTTAGGAATTTTTAACCTAATAGTTACTGTTAGATCTTGCAGCAGTATCTCAAAATAGTTTGCTCTCTGAAAATGAAGAAAAATGCAGTGTAATTTGCATATTCACTGCTTATGTCCTGAATACCATAGTATAAATATATACTTTAATAGTCCTTCAATATATCATTTACATACTATTACAGTATATATTGAAGGAGCCACACGTGTGTGCATACTGTTGTGTAAGAAGGGAAAACTCTTATTCCAAGGAAAATCTAAGCTTCAAATATTTACGCTAGATCTAAGAGTAACCAGAGAGAAGGACCTAATTAAAAAACAAAACTAAACCCACCAAACAAACCCACATGTGGAAATAGGAAAGAATTACAAGGGAAAAACATTACCAGTATTTTTAGCTCACTGCAATCGCAAGAACTACTTCAGCCTTCTGGAACAGAGATCTTCAGTTTTGCTCAGTTGCATTTCATTCCTTCCCATGCAAGCAGTATTAGCTATACTTCCTAATTAACTTATATAATCAATGCATTTTAATTACTGGGTAATGCATAAGCACGCCACCTGGAGCCTAAGACCCCTAATCCCCAGTGATATGTGCTCCTTTTCTCTTTCAAAGAGTCTTTATCCATTTATCTGCATTTCTTGCACTTTGTAGGCCACAGTCAAAGTACACCTATCTCCATCTCCAAATTGCCTGCAATTAAGATAAGAATTACCTTTGATTAAGAAAGTATGTGGAGAATGAAAGATGGGCTTGAATTCTTTCCTACATGTGAGGGAATTGAATGCAGTTCTGCAGTCCTTGGTTCAACAAAACAGGAAATGCAGTTTTAGGATGCCTAGCTTTTAATCAGAAATGCACCCAATGTGCTAAATAAAGCAGCTCTGCTGGTAAAAGACATTCAGGAAATGCTTCAGGGGTAAACCTGTCGATGCAGGTACCCCATGCTCTGGGTAACTGTTCTACTTGCTAAATTATTGGGTGAAGAGCTGGGACTTTCTCTTTCCAGCTCTGTTCTTGAGAGGAGTGGCCTGGGCCTGTTGTCAGGGGCAGACTCTCTGCCATCAGTTCACAGGCATGATGCTCTATGCCCAAAGAGAAATATGGATTTTCATGAATAACCTGCCTCAAGCATTTTTGTGCTAGCCATGTTTTCTGCTCAACATGCTGCCCTGAAGGGGCCTCCAGCTCAATGAGATGCTTTTTTAAAGTCTGTCTTAATGTTTCAGCACTCTGTCCACTTAGGGGACTGGACAGTGAAGTTACAAATCTCTTTTTGAAGCCCTAATGCTTAAACGTTAAGTTTCACACAGTGTAGCACTGTTGTGCTTGAATCCTTCAGGGGAATTTGTTTTTACCTCAGTTCCTCTCCACTTCCTCCAAAGTATGGAGCTGCAATACCAGCACCGTATTTCTCTTTCAAGGTGTTTAAGGGGATCTGGTATTGATAAAAAAATACCAATCTCTAAAAACAAGCAAATAAACCCTTTCAAATAATGTTTCAACCTTTTCGAATTGTCATGTTACTTAGAGTATTCTGGTTTTGTCAATTATAATAACCCCACAGACCTAGAGAAAGCATAGTTGTCCCAGTTGGCACTTCCTGCTGGATCTGATTAATACTTAATATTGACACCCAGGTCAATTATCAGTCATTTCAGCAAAAGATATTAAAATATTCTAAAATAAAGCATAAAACAGCTTATTTTTTTAAAAATCAAGTTTAAAAAAAAAACAACTCACAAATAAAACCCAAACCAACAAAAGCAAAACTATTTGCACACATTAAAAGATTTCTCGGCAGAAACAAAAGTAGATGCAGTTTTGTTTTGGAAAACAATCACATTAAAAGTAAGTTACCGTCTTTGTGCTCAGGTTGCTTCAAGCTATTTAACGTCCCTGTGCAGTGAGGAAACGCAAACGTCGTCCCGTGTAATTGACACAGCAGAACCAAAGACACAAGCATGGCGTAGTATCTGTCAGACAGGAACGAACGTGAGTTAAAGTGACGACGCCATATTCCGAAGTATGCGATGAACCATGAATGAATCCTATACATGAAGTCATCTAACACAAGCACCTACATGCAGTTGAGGCTCATGCTTCCTATTGGAAGGACAAGGATCCAAAACCGGTCCAGCACGTCTGGGTTCAACTAAGTTCTGGTTGTGTAACACGCGCAGGTGTAAGCGGGGCCGCGCACCCGCAGCGGTGTGTTGGACCCTCCCGCTCCCTATGGAGAGTAGAGCAGGAGCCCCGGGGGTGGCAGTTCTACAGGGAAAGATCACACTGGGTGCTGTAGGTACTCTGAACTTGGGATCGCGGCAGTCCTGCCGCCAGAGCACCACGGCAGCTTACAAAAGCTACCTGGCGTCAACGGGCGCACAGGAAACCATTTCGGCAGGAGAAAGCCGCGACCAACCTCCTCACGCAGAGCACTCCCCCGACTAAATAGCTACAGAAAATAAGAGAGAAATAAGGCCGCAATTCTTCCGTTCGCCTGGCACAGGGGAAAAGCGCAGACGTGCAGCCAGCCGAGGGCACCTACAGCTGCCCCAGCACCCCCGGGGCCGCTCCCGCGGTCGTCTTCTAGCATCGGACCAGACCCGATCCTATCCGACCCGACTCGAGCTGGGCAGATTCCAGGGGAGCGGGAGGTTTCGACTCAGAAGCGCCTTCCCTTCCCGTCCTGCTAGGCGCTGAGGTGCGTCCCTTGGCGCAGCAGGGAGAAGGGCTCCTACCCCCCTACCTGTCACGGTGAGGCTCCAGCGACGGCCTAGAAGGGAGCGGAGGACAGAGACACCTTCCGGTGTGGCCGCTGCTGCTCTAGCGCCAGCTGCACTTTCGGGACGGGACGGGACGGGACGAGGCTCGGCTTAGTCACCCAGGTCCACATGGACCGGCCCCGCCCCGGGTGAGCGCTTCGGCGGGGGGAAACACCCCTCGTGCCTGAGGGGAAAGGGGGCGCTCAGGAGCGATAGTGGGAGCTGGGGTGGTGCTGCGGCTCTCCCTGAGACACAAGCCTGGCTGTCGCCTCAGCTCACGGCCGGGATCCCTCGGAGGACAAGGTATCAGACCTTTCGTCTTCTGTAAACGTCTTTTACTGTTAAAACTTACTCCCTCCCTACCTGCGGGTTGATTATGATGCTGAAGATGTGGTTTGCCTCTGTGCTTCTTAAAAGTGAAGCCTTTGGTCTAATGGCAGGGTGTCTGCCGAGTAGAAGCTATGGGGAGGGTGTGCCTCCCCGCAGGGGTGAGGTACCTTTCAGCTACCTGCTTAACCACAGTTAATTACTTATCTGACGGTGGTTTGCAGTGTTTTTCTCCACCAAAGTTTTCTAGCCAGGGAGCTAACCGTGAGGAAAAGGACTAGCATAAGACTTGCATATATGGAAGTTGGCGAGTCTGTTGGCTGGGTGTTTATAAGTGAAAACAGACCTTATCCATGTGTGGTGTTAGTGAAGGCATGAAGTGGTACTTGAAAACCTTTCTAAAAGGGAAGGCTAAGAATATGTTTAACACAGTGTGCTGGTAACAAATAATGTGAAGAGTTTTGGCATGGGTTGGGTTATAAACTGCACACCAAAAAAAAAAAAAAAAATCAAGACATGTGAGTGGGATGGTTTTGCTACCATGGACTGAATGTTTTGTGTCTGCGGTAGGAGGTCTCTTGTCCTGACTTGGGATTGTATTCTTCATTTAAGTGCTGGAGTGACTTCCATATACAGAAGCAGGAAAGGGTAGAATGAGGGTATTGGGTAATGCTGGTGAAAGTGATTAGATACTCCATGGAGAAAAACCAGGAAATTCTAATATGTGAGATAAGGAGAATTGTTTGGAGGCAGGACAGCTGTAGTTAAATATTTACTTCAGAGCACCAATGTATTGCAGTTGAGAGGAGCTTGATGAATAAGTAACTTACCAGCTGGGATGGCTCTAATGCTTTTTAGCTGGTGGAGATCTCAACAGAAGATTGTAATGTGATTGTAGTATGTGCTTATGGCAGAGTGGGGGACTAAGATAACAATATTGTATAAGAAAAGAGCAGTATAGGTTGTTTATTACCTAGGTAACATTAAGGAGACAAGAATACTAGTTGCCACATGTTGGAAAAAGAAGAAACTGCCGTTACTTCGTGAAGGACTTTACAACTTCTTCTGTGCACCTCTGCTCGGCCCTCATCCCGAGTTCCTACCTGACTGTCTCTATGAGGGTGGTGCTAACCACAGAAATAGCTATAGTGCCAGCACATGAATACTCAAGAACTCTGTGGTGCATTTAAGCGCAAGTAAAGCACCTGTATGCATATATGGAAACTTTTTATGTGTCATAACAACTTTGTATGAGGAGCCTCTATTGTATAAGCAATGGGTGAATTTCCATTGTGTTATACCCCCGTTGCATATCATTTCTGAGAAAAGATAAAGTATTTTAGAGTTGCCTATGTATGCCACTTGAGAAGTGGGTGTGGATCCCATTATGCTCAGGTCACAGCTCTGCCTGCATTGGAGGAGAAGGCTCCTAGTGTGTGGACTGTGGGACAGATGAATCCCATCTGAATTCTCTGCTGATCTCCCCCCTGCTCTGAAGGTGGAGGAGCAACACAGTGGAACTGCAGTGGGAAAGGCCCGCAGATTTTTAACTTTCTCCTACGCCTCTCTCTGGGCTCAGCCTGTGATCTTGAGGGTTTGCAGTGAAATCCTCACTGAGGGTTACTATACTGGCACACAGACGTGTGAAAACTCATGTGTGTTTGTATGTTAGCCTCAACAGAAAAATAAGTGAGAAGCTGGTAATGGCAAACATTGTAACAAGCCTGTGTGAGTCCTGGTTCCCTCTTGTATTAATGAGCTGAACTTCTGTTGTGTTATGCCATCACTACATGCCCTTATTAAGACAGAATAACAAAAGAAGACTCAGCAAGGTTTATCCCCTCTCCGTAGATGTGGATTCACTCCATTATTCCCAGGGTAGGAGCTCCCCCTGTTTCTGAACTATACCTAAATTTTTGCTATCCCAACCCCAAGACTCAAGTTTCCTGTTTAAGGCAGCATTACAACAGTAGATGTAAAGAAAACAGTGTATGCAGCTTAAGCTAATCATGATATAATGAAATACTGCTATTTTAGGATTATGTTATAGATAATGATTGCAAGTGTGCTTAAACTCTGGTTTGTTATACCGAACACAGAAAGAAAAATATAAGGAAAAAAAAGGTATAGCAAGTGCTCAGGATAAATAGAGTATCTCCTGTGTATGTGCAGTTTTTAGCATGGCAGAATGATGAGCAGCATTTTGCATGTTACTTTCCTACTCGTAAATTAATTTTTATGGCAAAAGAACCTTATTGTTAAATTATCAAGCTATGTGGTGAATAAGCTCAGGAAGATGAAACCATGAGCAAAGATAATTTCCTCAAGTTTTCAGATAAATACAGTATAGCAGGTAATGTAATTAGAGATATTCTGAGAGATTAAAAATCTCTCGCTGTTAACATTGGGTGAATATAAATTCATATTTCTAAATAAATGTCTATTGGCTATACTGGCTAGTATGATTATTTACATTAATTTTAAAATTTTACTCGTAACTGATGTTTGGTAAAAATATTGCAGGAGACATTAAATATGATGCTGTTGAATTGAACCAGAACTATGTATCTCCTCACAAGAGCAGGGTGATACCAATGTAAGATGTCTATACAGTAATTATTTGTTTCTCCATATATTGATTACTTTGCTGTAAATTAACAGTGATGCATTCATTTTAGTATGGTAAAGAATAATGTGCTTTACTGATTTCTGATTAGGAGGACTTTGGGTCAGGAATGCATTTAATTCCTGGTTAGCAGTGTCCTGCTCAGATTGTGATGGTGAGGATTTTCTTTTGATTGTTTGATACAGAACTGTGAAAAGTAAAGCCCTGTATCTCACCCCAATATGCAAATATATCCTACCATAATATGAGTATCAAATTCCGTGTAGCTATTGTTCAGTTTCCCATGTAGTATTTATCAATTATTATGATAAACTGTGGAGAGAACTTTTAAGTATTTAAATAATGGAAATGACATAAATATCTAATTAAGAATGACCCCTCTCATCACAGACTTTGAAACCTTGTTCATCTGGTTTGTTCTTTGCAGTGCTTTAATTGAGGTCCTGAATCATGTGTTACAGATTTGTCCTTTATGCAAAACTGTTTTATGTTCTCATGTTTATTAACTTAATTTCTATCCAGGTAGCTTGTTTTAGGAGTAATGCTTTTTTTAGTAAAGGTAATCTAACATGACTTACACTTTAATTATTAGCTTTGTACAGTTAACATCAAAGGGTTACTGCAATAAGCACTTCAACCAAATGAGTGAACCATATTAGAATCTTGGATAAACCTGTTACCCTGTTCCACATATTATATGCTGTCTGAAGGGCTTAGTTTAGACCAGGTCATCTTGGAAAAGACAGTTACACTTTGGGTACCCCTAGTGTTCCTTGTGCCTTCGTGTAGAAATGCCTGGGTTACAGCTATTTTGGTTGGTCTAATAAAAGAGAGAATTTTTACTGCTCAGAAATAATGGGAGATGCTTGCAATAGCACATAAATAGCAACAGTAATTATACAATTAACAAAGGTTGATCTTTTCAGAGTACTGATCTTTATGGGCAAGTTAATCAAGAAAAAATGCTTATAGAGGGTCAGTAAAAGCCTTACAGGGCTCAGTTTCACCTATAGTTCCTCTGTATTCAGTATTTAAGCAGGAATGGAAATGTTACCTGTGGTGATGAGGAAGCAAACACTCACCCAGTCAGATTTCAGTAATGGGCCCGGTGCTCCCAGTTAGTGAATGCTGTCAGCTACCACTGAAGGCACCGAGAATGCTGCTCATCTAATAGGATTAAAATTCAGCATTGTCAGTTGCTCATAATATTTTTAGATGCAGTAAGTGGAATAAGGCCAAACCTTTTTCATTGTTGCCAAGACTAGTATGTTGTTAGACTTGTACGTACATGTCCTGGCATGAGAATTTCAGGAAATGGTCTGTAGAAAATTCTGCATAAATTGGCTCATTTAAAACAATGTGCTCCCAAATATATGCAAGGTAAAAATCATGTCAAAACCTCCTTGCAGTGTGATGAAAATCTGCTTCTGGCTTTTGTTGATGCTGTTTTGTCTTATTTTGGTGAGCTACTTCTGATTAGCAAAATCATCCCGTTTGGCTTTGATATTTAAGCTCACTAGTCAAGAACAAGCTCCCTGTAGTCTCTGGCCTTGGAGATATTCAAAAACCATCTGGATGTGGTCCTGAGCAATTGGCTGTAGGTGGCCCTGCTTGGGGGGCCTCCAACCTCAACCATCCTATGATTCCATGATGCTGACTGTTTGTAGTCCAGAAAAGCCCTCGTGTTTCAACGTCATCTCAGCTTCCTAAGATTTGGGGTTAATATTCAGCTCTTTACCTATTTCTGTTGCATTATCTATTTTTGTCTCAGTAACACATTTCTCTATGCAGCTGGTATCTTGGATTTAAATTATTTGGTTTTCTTGCTCACACTAGAGGGAGCTCTCAGGTGGCCTTTCAAATTACTCCTGCAGCTCTACTTTCATTTGTAATCCTGAACGTTCCCGCTGAGAATCTGCTATCAAAGTATACAAGCCAAAGCCGTATACAATGTCTTGAAAAAGTTTCATTTTCTAACAGATCTGAGCTTCTGAGTTATTTGTAGGTGAAGTAACATCACACCAGACTGTCAGCTTTGTCTGTGTTTTAATTTCACTCAGCTGCAGCAGCAGTGCAGGCCTCTGAAGGGCATAAATACGACAGATGTTGATGTTTCTGTTATGCTTGGCATTTGTTTTAGTAACTGTGGAGATATATTTATACATTTTGCTGCTATAGTACAGTCAGTTTCTATTTGGTATGTATTAGGTTGATCAGCAAGGAACTTGTTTGTGATTGTGGGAGGGTTGCTTAAAGACTTCAGGTGAGAAAGATTATTTTTTTTTCTCTTTTTTCTCTTTAGCCATGTAAATTTAAAACTCAATTTGTTTCCACTGGTGAGTAGAAGCTGGCTTTGGATGAGGTGCTTATGTAGGTGCTTTTATCGAATGGTTGCTAGGGTTGATAATAGATAAATTTTTACTGTTTTTCATTTTAGACAGTGGTTTTAACCTGCTTTTCCCCTTTGCATATTATAACTTGCTGTTCTGTTTATGTTGATTACAGTTTCTAGAAAATGGTCTAGGACATTACAGTCGGTAAAGAGCAAAGTGAATTTTATTGAATTTGAGGAAGCAATTGAAGTTTTCAGGTTTGTAGTCAAAATGAGAGAATGCCACACATGTGAAGTAAAGCCAGCACAGGTCTGCTGAGGATGCAGTTATTCTTTGCTGTGGCCTAAAAGCTGATTCTAAAAGTATTTATAGAAGCAGAAAACGTTAACATCAGCGATGACAAACTGCCTAACTAGTCTCCCTGCCTAAGAAAATGCACAGACAGTCTAGGTGAACAGTCTCTCTCCAAAGAGAGGTCTAGGGAGGAGTACTGTTACAAGTTCTTTTGTTTCTTGCTTTGTGGACCCCAAAACACCACTTCGTTTCCAACAGAATAGTTTTAATAACTGCATCTCAAATGTATATGCAATTCTTGACACTTACAACAAAGGCTGAACTCTCTAATACTTGGTGCGCTTTCCTTCTCAGGGATATAATCTGCATTATCGTAGGCAGGTAAGCAAGCAATTATTTCACTTCTGCTTTAGCTCAGGAAAAAGAACACGGATGAACAACTTGGCTATGGAGAAACTGTTGGATCTACAGTATCTTTTTAAGTGCTTGAAGTGGCTCAAGAAGACCAGGCAGTAGTCTACATGGCCACTGTGGTATTATTACCAAAGGGGAAGTTCATGTGAGTAAGAAGGAAATAGATGAGTTTGGATCAAGAGTCTGAGTATTGGTCTTGCATTCTAAATGTTCATAGCATTCTCACAATGCCATTCTCACCTGAATTAGGGATGTGCAGGCTAACAATGTGTACAGGGGAAGGGATGACAAACATAGTTTATGTTGCCCCATTCATGCAGAGCTTTTGCTGTAGAGTAGAAAAGGTCACCCAGTCTTGACTCAGGGTGGTTTGAGGATGCTGTCTATCAAGTCCTGTCTTTTTTATCTGGAGATTATATAGTTGGATATGAAAAGTGTTCTGGAGCTTCCTTGTTTCTTGAGCGTGGGAGCATTTTTATAATATTTAAAAAAAAAAAAAAAAAACCAAAAACCTGGGAGAGAGGAATCACATGGTGGTTTTGTTGGAACTCTGACCAAAGGAGTTGGTGTGACATGAAGGATTGCAGGGCCTACAACAACCTCCTCCATGAAAGCATGAGGCAGTTAAAACAGCAATATTGGTAAAAGCCTGTTGACTTGAATTTTTTATAAATGCTGCAGCACTGGAAGGGGCTCTGCCCTGTGCTGGTTCAATTACAGGGTAGATCATAGTTCCTCTTCCCTAAGGAAGAGAAATTTTGATGACTTTTTTTTTTATTATTTCACTACTGACTTGTTTCCTCAGGTAGTTTAGATCTTCTCTGCTACTTAAAGGAAGTCTGGATAAAAATTTGACCTGCTCCTTTAAGTTCTCGTAATAGGGGAGATGGAGTTGAAGCTTGTTTTTACTGTGCTATGCATTCATGTTGTTTCTCAGGGCAAAGAATACATCTTATTTTGCCTTTGCAAGTTATGGTTAACACTAATGAAGGTGCTGTGTGGGCTCAGATTTTTTGTTTTCTTTTTAAATATGCTACTAATCAAGTGATAGATTATCTAAACACGTGAAGAACTTGTTCTGCTTCTTCCTCTCAGTTGTATTATGCAACTTTATTGTTGGTAGTTTTGAAAGAAAAGAACTATTCCAGTGGAAAGGATTAAAGAAGTAGGATGAATCACAATATGCAAATGCTTTTGATATAGTCTTACAT